CGCCTGGAGTCCCGCCGCTACAAGCGCGTGGACGTGAGTCTCTTCATGCCCCTGCGCTGCGCCAGGCCCGACGCCAGCACCGGCTCCAGCCGCGGGGCCTGCGGCGTCCGGTTCAGAGCCAAGTAGGTGGCGGCCATCGCGCCCTGCAAAACAAGGGGGGCTGGTGACTGCAGTGCCACCACTCTGCTGGGGCCAGCAGCAGGGCCTCTCTGGCCTCAGTTTCCCCCACGTGTTCGGGGAGACAAGGCCGCTGTGGGACACCGAGCTCCACAGTGACCCAGGGTCCTGTCCCTGTGTCCACCTGGCACCCCAGGCCAATCTGAGCTCTGCTGCGATGTGGGGTAAATATTTCACACTCTCCAGCCCAGGCTGAGGTCAGCCACCCCACTTCCGGCTGGGGGGCAGTCCTTTCTCTCGGTCTTTGTCTCTTTCCTTGTCTCTCTGTTGCGTGGAACACGCACACACATACATGCACATACACTCACACATAACATATACACACANCTCCTTGTCTCTCTGTTGCGTGGGCACACGCACACACATACATGCACATACACTCACACATAACATATACACACACACGCGCACTCACTCACATATACACACACACACACACATGCACACACTCACACTCACACATATACTCACACATAACACACACGCACACACTCACACACATACACGCACATACTCACACACACATACACTCACACATACACACACACATGCACACACTCACACACTCACACATAACACACACATGCACACACACACACACACACACACTGAAGCTGCCAGAATGTTAACAGAACCTGTAACTTACTCAGTGTCCTGCGTGTGATCGTGTGTATGTGATGACATGTGCAAGTAAGTACATGTGGGATTCCCTTCGGGCCTGCAGTCAGCCCCCTTCCTGCACAGGTGATTCTCTGGGTTAATGGGGAGGCTTCACAGAACCTTTTCTGGGTCCCCCAATCCCTCCATTTTGCTCTCATGAGGCCTGCACATACCTTCACCAGGTGGACATCCTGTCTGCTGAGCTGATTCTGGGACAGGTACTCTCTGTTCACAATCCACGGGTGTTTCAGGACCTGAACAGCAGTCAGGCGCTGGTGCGGGTCCACGTGGAGCATCTTGGATACCACGTCCTGCGGGGAAGGTCAAAGGCCGGAGAGGAAGGTCAGAGGCCGGAGAGGAAGGTCGGAGGCCGGAGAGGAAGGTCGGAGGCCGGAGAGGAAGGTCGGAGGCAGGAGAGGAAGGTCGGAGGCAGGAGAGGAAGGTCGGAGGCAGGAGAGGAAGGTCGGAGGCAGGAGAGGAAGGTCGGAGGCAGGAGAGGAAGGTCGGAGGCAGGAGAGGAAGGTCGGAGGCAGGAGAGGAAGGTCGGAGGCAGGAGAGGAAGGTCGGAGGCAGGAGAGGAAGGTCGGAGGCAGGAGAGGAAGGTCGGAGGCAGGAGAGGAAGGTCGGAGGCAGGAGAGGAAGGTCGGAGGCAGGAGAGGAAGGTCGGAGGCAGGAGAGGAAGGTCGGAGGCAGGAGAGGAAGGTCGGAGGCAGGAGAGGAAGGTCGGAGGCAGGAGAGGAAGGTCGGAGGCAGGAGAGGAAGGTCGGAGGCAGGAGAGGAAGGTCGGAGGCAGGAGAGGAAGGTCGGAGGCAGGAGAGGAAGGTCGGAGGCAGGAGAGGAAGGTCGGAGGCAGGAGAGGAAGGTCGGAGGCAGGAGAGGAAGGTCGGAGGCAGGAGAGGAAGGTCGGAGGCAGGAGAGGAAGGTCGGAGGCAGGAGAGGAAGGTCGGAGGCAGGAGAGGAAGGTCGGAGGCAGGAGAGGAAGGTCGGAGGCAGGAGAGGAAGGTCGGAGGCAGGAGAGGAAGGTCGGAGGCAGGAGAGGAAGGTCGGAGGCAGGAGAGGAAGGTCGGAGGCAGGAGAGGAAGGTCGGAGGCAGGAGAGGAAGGTCGGAGGCAGGAGAGGAAGGTCGGAGGCAGGAGAGGAAGGTCGGAGGCAGGAGAGGAAGGTCGGAGGCAGGAGAGGAAGGTCGGAGGCAGGAGAGGAAGGTCGGAGGCAGGAGAGGAAGGTCGGAGGCAGGAGAGGAAGGTCGGAGGCAGGAGACGAAGGTCGGAGGCAGGAGACGAAGGTCGGAGGCAGGAGAGGAAGGTCGGAGGCAGAAGAGGAAGGTCAAAGGCCAGAGAGGAAGGTCAGAGGCAGGAGAGGAAGGTCGGAGGCAGGAGAGGAAGGTCAGAGGCAGGAAAGGAAGGTCGGAGGCAGGAGAGGAAGGTCGGAGGCAGGACCAGAAGGGGTGAGCTGTGCTGCTAACTGAGCCTCCCCAGCAAAATTCCTCTCTCCTTTGTAGGGCAAAACCTAACTGTTGTTCTTAGAGTGATTCTATGCATTTTGAGGTGAGATATTTATTCTCAGGTTTATAAGTATGTGATTGGTTTTTAAGTTTTAACCGTCACAGGTTTATATTGTGTTAAAGACGTTATGTCTACAGGGAGATCAGATGTGGGGATGTTCAATGGCGCATGTATGTTCCTGAAATACTGTTTCAGTAAAGATGTCATCCTCCCAAATCAGAAGCTGAAATAAGGAATGTCCCACAGATAATGAACCATTTCACAACAATGTATGTAGCTACATTTGTATCAGGATTGCCCACAAATATTTGCTACAAATAATTGCCAACCGTGGAACTGACAACCAGTAACCATCACACATGTCCCACAGGCTCCTGTCCCATCGACATGATTTGATTATTTGATTGTAAAGTGATAATAAAACTCCTAAAGCTGGTTAAACACAGAGCTCCACATTACAGGTACATGTTGTGTTACATGTACACACGTGCCCACACATGTAGTTACTGTGATTTCCACTTGCACAGCATTCGTGCACCTGTTCTTGTGAGTCCCCAGGATCGTCCTTGGGGGAAAGAGGTGAATGTACTTTCCCTGTTGTACAGATAAAGATGCTGATGTTTAAAGTCATTAACTAAGTGCCCGAGGAGGACCGGGATGAGAATCCGGGCTTTCTCACTAGCCCGTGTCCCTCCACACTTCAAACAAAGTAAATGAACTAGAGTGTGTGCACAATATAAAGCTGAAATACTCAGTAGAATTTCTGGTCATAAAACACCACAAGGAAATGCTATGTACTACAACAACACCCTTTCCCCACAGAAAAACCCGATGCCTTTTAACATATGACATTCATCTCCGTAACTTCTTGAACAAACACCTCCTGGAGGTACTGTTCTCATATCCACGTGTGATGGAAATGGAAGCAGAGACACCTACATCGCCGTGCTCAAGATTCCATGGTAAAGAATGATGTTCTTGTACATTCAGAAGGTGGGTAAAGTAAAAGCAAATGAGTCTGTAGGCTCTGCCTATTTCTGGAGGATCGGAGGCTGCATTGTGTGGTAAGCACAGAGGTGGGGAAAGGCACTGGGGACTGGAGGAGGAGTGGACGTGGCGGTGAGGGGCAGGAAAAAGTCGGCGAGGTCCTGGCAGCAGGGAAGTGCTCTGTCTGCAGCTGTGGGCTCGGTAATGCATCCTGCACTCAACTCTACTCCTTTCCCAACATCGTCTCCCTGCCCCCGGCCCCTGCTTCGGAGATCATGCCCCAAAGAAACCATCAGCACCCAAGTCCTGAACTGAGAGAATTCCATGCTCATGTGAGACAGTACAGATAGAAGGGAGCACTGGGAGAGTCAGGGTCACTAAGGGCCAGCTACCATCACCTCTGCCATCACCTCCTCCATGACCACCACCATCTCCTCCACTATCCCCACCATCTTCACCATCTCCTCCATCTCCTCCACCATCTCCACCATCCCCACCATCTCCTCCATCTCCTCCATCATCCCCACCATCTCCTCCATCTCCTCCACCATCTCCACCATCCCCACCATCTCCTCCATCATCCCCACCATCCCCACCATCTCCACTATCTCTACCATCCCCACCATCTCCTCCACTATCCCCACCATCTCCACCATCCCCACCATCTCCTCCACCATCCCCACCATCCCCACCATCTTCACCATCCCCACCATCTCCTCCACCATCTCCACCATCCCCACCATCTCCTCCACCATCTCCACCATCCCCACCATCTCCTCCACCATCCCCACCATCTCCACCATCCCCACCATCCCCACCATCTCCACCATCTCCTCCATCATCCCCACCATCCCCACCATCTCCACTATCTCTACCATCCCCACCATCTCCTCCACTATCCCCACCATCTCCACCATCCCCACCATCTCCTCCACCATCCCCACCATCCCCACCATCTTCACCATCCCCACCATCTCCTCCACCATCTCCACCATCCCCACCATCTCCTCCACCATCTCCACCATCCCCACCATCTCCTCCATCTCCTCCACCATCTCTACCATCCCCACCATCCCCACCATCCCCACCATCTCCTCCACCATCTCCTCCACCATCACTGTAGGAGGTCATGCAGTGATGGTGATGGCAGAGTTGGAGTCAGAACCCCAGATCTTCTTCTCTTCTTCCAGTCACTTTACAGTAGCACAGGAAATAGAATATTGGTGCTGCTTCTTACTAGTGCTTGGATTCTAACTTACTATTTCATTAGAGAGAAATTTGATGATGTCAACTAAAAAAGACCAAGTCTGATGAACAGAAGAAACAGGATGGTCACAAACAGGGCAGCTGCAGAGAAGCCCAGATGCAAAGTATCTAAAGTAACAGAGATGCACCTCCGGACCGGTGCTCTGCTCAGTCATTCTGTCATCAGTTGGGCAATCCTTTGGCAACATCACTAACAGTGTGGTGGTTAATTTTAGGTGTCAACTTGGTTAGGCTGTGGTAACCAGGTGTTTGGTCAAACACCAGTCTAGAAGTTTCTGTATTTCTAGATGTATTTCTTAGATGAGGTTAACATTTAAATCAACTGATTATGAGTAAAGCAGATTACCCTCCATAGTGTGGGTGGGCCACATCCAATCAGTTAACGTTCTTAAGAGAAAAAAGACTGAGCTCCTTGAGGAACAGGGAATTCCGCTGGCAGGTGGCCTTTGGAGTAGAGCTACAACATCTACTCTCCCCTGAGCCTCCAGCCTGTCACCTACTTTGTAGATTTGGGGCTTACCAGCCTCCACAATCATGTAAGCCAATTTTAAAAAATAAACCTCTCTCTCAGTCTCTGCCCCTTTGTACATACATATACATCTTATTGGTTCTGCTATACCAAGACTGTAGAAAATGTGAAAAGTGCTATAAAGTATTTTTGCCCCCAATTTTTTTTTAGCTGAGCAGCTTTAAAAAAAAACCTTGAGGATAAATTATCTGTACTGTTGATAGGAAAGGGGTCCTCCGGCTCTGTCACAGATAAGATGGTTGCGAGCGAGGCTCCGACCTAAGGAACAGCATGGGCAGTGGGCTCACCTTGGCCGCCTCGGAGACGGAGTCCCAGTTCCCGCCCGAGAGGGCGTACTTCCCACTGCCGATCCGCGCCAGGATCTCCTCGGGAGTATCGTCTGGCCCGTTTGCAAAGGGGGTGAATCTGTGTGATGAGAGGATTTAGGGCGATGACCTTCCACTTTATAAACGTAAATGAAGTCCACAACGGAATGCAGCCTCTTTGTTGTTAAAAACAGCCTTTTCTTCCCCATTTTGCTCCCAATCCAGGATTACGGATAAACCATTCATTTCTAAATGCTCCGCCCATTGTCCTTACGTGGGCACTGCTGGGGGTCGACAGAGCAAGTGAGCAAAGCTCGGTGGACCCAAAATGAGGTGGACCCAAAACGAGCTTTCTGGACCGTTTCGGGCTTCCCCGGTGACAGTGTGTAGCAGTGGTCTGCCTTGTGGCTCGGTTTCCATGGTGACGGCGTGACATCATGGATGGGAGCCTGAGACCTGAGCCTGGCTGATCTATCGCCCACTCTGGGATCTTTGATAAGTTAACTTTTGAGCTTGCAAAACAGGCAGAATCATGTGCTCACAGGGATCCGTCTCAGCCGTGACACTGCAAACACGCAGAAAGTACGTGACCCACCACGAGAGCGAGAGGGGCGCTCACTCTGCCTCCCTTTCTGTGCCCAGGGCCCGTGGGCACACACGTTGGGGGGATTACGTGTGGTTCTCACGGTGAGGCTGTGGCCCCAGCTTAGGGAGCAGCAGCGTGAGCATCGGAGGAGCCACATGGGGACCCAGTGTGACACCAGGAGGTCACGCTGCTCTCCTCTCGTGGTCAGCACTAACTACGGATTTATTATAAATACCTCAGTAAGGCCACAGAGACAGCGGGCCATTCCCATCCATTCTACTAGGGTATTTTGTCCGTTTCGCTACGGTGAACAGGACTGGATGTGCCCTCCACTTGAGCATTTAATAGACTTAAAAACATTGGCCCGGCCTGTGTGGCTCAGTGGCTGAGCATTGGCCTATGAACCAGGAGGTCAGGGTTCGATTCCCAGTCAGGGCACAAGACGGGGTTGCGGGCTCCATGCCCAGTGAGGGGCGTGCAGGAGGCAGCCGATCAATGACTCTCTCTCGTCGATGTTTCTCTCCCTCCCTCTCTCTCTAAAATGAGTAAAAACATATTTAAAAATAAACAAGACATTGGGAAGCAGGGGGATTTTTAAAAATTCTAGACCCTCATGGTTGGAAGGAGCCTCAAATGCCACCTGTGTTTCCCCTCATTGAGAGTGAGGGAGGTGAGGCCAGTGGAGGCCAGGAGTCAGCCCGGCAGCGAGCGCCTGGGGGACACACGACCCGCTTCCTCTGACACGGGGGCCTCGTCCCAGGAAACCGGTCCACGCAGGTCTCAGGGCCGTGGGAGTCGGTCCCAGCACATTAGTGGCCGCCTCCTTCAAGAGGCTGTTTGACCATGACTTTTACGGGCGCGTCCTGGCTCAGGAGGATGACTTTGAGGAGCCGGTGTTCGAGGTTTTTAGGGAATGCGGGCGCCGGAACCAGCGGCCTGGGCGTTCTGTGGGGGAGCCCAGCTGTGCAGCCCACGTTCCCTAACTCTGCAGATGCCGCCCAAAGCAAAGGCAGGGCTGCCTTCCCTGTCCTGTTCCCAGCTCTCCTGAGGTCTGAGATCCGCCCACACCCGAGCCCCAGCCCCGCGGGAAGCGGCCCTCGGGCGGCCCCTCGGGGCCTGCGTTACCCCGCCAGCATGGTGTAGAGCAGGATCCCCAGGCTCCAGACGTCGCAGGCTGCGTCGTAGCCCTGCCGCTTCAGCACCTGGCGGGAAAGACAGCAGCCGGTGAGCGCCTGGCGAGGAAGGCTCAAGGTCAGGGAGGCGCGTTGTGCCCGTGGGACGGTGACGCCGGCAGGGCGGGGAGCAGGGGATGCCGTCTGCTAAGGCAGAGCCGCTCCGGTGTTCCGAGTAGGGCTCCCCAAAGAGCAGCACACGCGGGGAGCCCAGGCTCCTGCCGGAGACGGGACGGAGCGGGAAGGAAGCGTTCAGCTTCTAAGGCAGAAGGGCGTGATCACAGCGAGACGGGCATAACGTGGACCATCTCAACCACTCTGAGAGGGGCATCGAGCACCCCCACAGCCGTGCCGCCGTCACCCCGTCGTCTCCGGAGCTTCCAATTCTGCCCCGTCCAGCACTCAGGCCCCACGGCTGGCCCAGCCCGGCACCAGCGTCCCCTCCGTCTCTGTAAACCTGGCNTCAGGCCCCACGGCCGGCCCAGCCCGGCACCAGCGTCCCCTCCGTCTCTGTAAACCTGGCTCCTGCAGGCGTGGGCATCTATCCCTCTGTGTCCGGCGGACCTCACTTCACACTGTCCTCAGGGGCACCGGTGCCGCGGCATGGGACAGGACCACCCTCCTTTCCAAGGCCAGGTAATATTCCACCGTGCGGCTGGACCCCACCCGGTCGCTCCATCCGGCCGCCTGGGTGCCCCCCCTCGGCCGCCGTGCGTGCGGCAGGCAGAGAGCGACCAAAGCGATCAACTGCGTTGTGTGCGAGCAGGGTCGGCGGCCGACCCTTTCTGACTCACGTCTGTTCCCCGACGTGACGGCTGAAAGGACCCGCGAGGCCGCCCCGCCCCGTCCCCTGCTGGCCGGAGCCCTCTCACCTCCGGCGCCACGAAGTTGGCCGTGTAGCAGGGCGTCATCAGCAGTCCGTTCTCCGCACGCAGCTGCTTGGCGAACCCGAAGTCGCAGATCCGGATGGACTCGGGGTTCCCGGACTCGTCCATGTACAGTATGTTGCTCGGCTTCAGGTCGCGGTGCACCACCTGCAGGG